GACCTTGAACTGGAAGGACAATCCATTTCCCAGAGGCCTGGTGCCCATCCTTGACCCCTGCGGGGCTCTCCATTGAGTCCGTCTCCCTGCTGACCAACTGGGTTGTGCTGCTGGGAGTTTTTTTTAAATTGATACCCAGGATCAAACTCACGACAGCACATTTGCATGGCAGGAACTTATGCTGCTGAGCTAAATCCCCAGCGCTGCTGGGAGATTTGGGGGAAAGAAAGAAGCCTGAATTCGATTAGGAAGCTGAGTGTCAAGGGCCAAACAGAAGGTGTGAGGAGAGAGGACACTGCCAAGGACCGCAGCCCTGCCGAGGACCCACCTGGGTTATTTGCCTTGGGTGACTCCTGGCAAAACTCTGACCTTTGGGAGTGGGGGTGTGGCTCAGCAGGCCAAGTGCCTGCCTGGAAAGAAAAAAACCTGACTTTTAAAGCATGGCCTTTAGCTAATGGCTTAGTACCCTTAATATACAAAGAGTTCACACCAATCAATAAGAAAACTCTTAAAGACGGACAAACACTCACAAAGAATAATGGGGAAGAAAAGGAACAAGGCATTTATAAATGAAGTTATATGGAAGGTCCCTTGATTGCTTTGGCCAGTCCTGGGGCTCCATGCATGCTAGGCAAAAGTGTTACCACCAGGCCACACCCCAGCCCTTGCCAGTGTTTTGTTTTTTTAATATATACTGAGAATTGAACTCAAGGCCTTTGCATGCACCCCTCCCCCATCCAGGGACACTGTTTTTGTTTTTTGGAGTATCAGGGATTAAACTCATGAGCCCATGCTTGTCAGGCAGGCATTTATGTCACTGAGCTAAATCCCTGGCCCGTGGACACGTTTTAAATTTTTATTTTTTTAAATTTTGAGACAGGTTCTCACTAGTCACCAGGTTGCCTCAGGCAGAAGGCTGCTGTCCCAAGCATGGCCACTGTTCTCTTTAAATTGCTGGACCCTGGACAAACTGTAGGCATCGGCCACCCTGCCTGACCTTGGTAGAGACCTCACCCGCCCTCAGTGTCTCTGTCTGTGCTTTGCCGCTTTGTCTTTGGGCTCCTGCACAAATGGTGGTGACATGGTTTTGGAAGACCTCAGGTCCCTAAAACCCTCCTGCCCACTATGTCCCAGTCCCCAAGAAGGCTGGATGCCCACAGGCACCCTCCTCATTAGCAACTGTGCTACTGTGTCATGCTAGTTTCTGGTCATAGTGAAAGCCCATTATTAAAAGAAGTCAGACATTACTGTACATACGAGTGAACCCGGCTCTTCTCATTCTTACAGCTGAGGTCCACCTACTACTTCCCACTGTGGAGAGCGGGGAGCAGGAAGGGCTCCCCAGGAGGACAGGACTGGAGGAGGCGCCTGGGGGGCTGGTGGTAACTGTGGGGGCGGTGTGAGTGTGTCCCCTCCTACAGGCACGCATGCAGGCTATGTGGGGCCTCTGTGAGTGACCGCAAGTTTGTCCTTCCTGAGGCCCATAGGGTTCAGCTGGAGAGGGCGAGGGCCGCATGGCGGATGGGTAAGAAAGTATCACACACACGGACCCATGCACAGCCCATGCACAGCAGAGAGAGCGGCGTGTTCTCCGGGGCATCAGAAGGACCTCCGAGGGACAGTGTCACCTTCCTCCCGGCGGGGAAGAGCCACTAACAGAAGCGGACAGTGCAGAGGTGAAAAGCCACTTTGACTTCAAGGCTCTAGTCTTGGGCCAGCTTTCAAGGCAGGTTGGAGAGTGGCTCTGTTTCCCGCTGAGAGCTGTGACCGACACCTCTGCAATGCGATGGACAGTGAGGTGAAATAAATGCACGGCTAGCCCAGAGGCAGCTGCCCACCGGGGCAGGGGGCTTGGGCCGAGGCTTGGATCTGAACACCGCTGTGTCACCTCAGGCGGCAGATTTAGCATCCCAGAACTGGAACTGGAATCCCCAATCCCGGTTTTCTTACTTGGAAAAATAAACACTACCCAACCCTCGGAGCTGCCGGAGGATAAAGCTGAGCAGGGCCTGGGGAGCCCTGAGACGCGTTTCCTAGGTACCTGCGAACCAGAGTGCAGGGTGTAAAAGTGTACTGAGGGACGTGTCAGACCCAGAGAACTGTGAAGCTTAAAGATACCCTGGTCTTAGGGGTCCTGCAGGGCTTGCCAACCTTCTACTGCTGCAAGCTATTTGTCTGTCAGGCTAAGCCAAGGGTGGTGGCATATGCTTGTAATCCCTGCCCTAGAGAGGCTGAGGCAGGAGGACTGCAGTGCATTTGAGGCCAGCCTGGGCTACAGAGTGAGTTCAAGGTCAGCCTGAAGTACCCAGGGAGACCCTGTCCCAAAAAAACCGAATCAGTCAACCAGACAACCAAGCAAAAGAGAAGAAACCCAAGACCAAAAACAGCAACTGAATACAAGAGACTTCGAAGGTGCACAGTGCCATTAAAAGCTGAGCTCCCCATGAAGCCAGGGATGGGCAGGTGGAACCCTCACTCCTTGTCACCTGGTCCTGACCCCTCTGAGGACCCTCAGAGCTCCTCGGCCACGGAAATTTCCGCCCTGCCAATCACATCCGCAATCCAGTTTGCACGTCCCTTTATCAAACCTGGCACGCCTGCATCTCTGTGGATTCTGCTCTCATCGTCTGTCTCTTTTAAAGGAAAGGCTTTGTGAGGGCGGGAACCTGTGTGTTTAACTTTAAAGATGTCTTAGCGCCCTTTCTCCTTAGCACACTATTTTCAGGCTTTGTGAGCGTCCTCCTGTTGGTGCCAGAATGACCAGGGACTGTCATCCACGTGAACCTCCCCTCTCGAGTCCCGGGAAGATGGCTTTGCAGAATCAGCTTGAGGGCACCGAGGAGAACGTGCGCTTTTCCTCTGTCATTTTCCAGAGGTGGAAACCGAGGCCCAGATGGGGGATTTGGTTGATGTTGAATAGGAGTTAATGGTGGGGCTGGGACAAGTGCCCTGGACCCTGGTCCTCGGGTTAGGGCACTGTCAGCTCAGAATGGGGCACTGGGAGGCACATACGGATTTGTATTCCTGAGGACACTCCTCAGCCATGCACTCACCTTTTATTTTTTCCCAGTCGTTGACCCAGAGAGCCATCTGTATAACCCAGGGTCTTTGTTTTATTATGTGTGTGTCTTTCATTATAAAAACCTCAAAGTGTTCACCCGAAGAGAGGGCCATGAGACCCTAAAACTGTGACATCCTCTATTGGGTGGAGGATGACCCTGTTTTGCTTAAAGCTTTGGGTTTTTCCTTAAGGTTTTGCAGAATTTCTTTTTCTTTCTTTCTTTCTTTTTTTTTTTTTTTTTTTTTTTTTTTTGTCTTTTTAAAGACAGGGTCTCGCTATGCAGTTCAGGCTGGCTTGAGCTCCCCTTGTAGCCCAGGCTGGTCTCTAACTCGCAACGATCCTCCTACCTCAGTCTCCCAAGTACTGGGATTACAGGTGTGAGCCACCATGCCCGGCTGAATTTATTCTTCTATGATCAGCTCTTTTCACTTTTATTTTGAAAACGAGTCCCACTGAGTTCCCCAGTCTGGCCTTGAAGATGCAGTCCTCCTGCCTCAGCCTCCTGCGTAGCTGAGATTATAGACGGAGCCACCATGCTCTGCTCCCATCACGATTCTGAATTTACTTTCTTCTTCCTTAAAGCACTGCACAGTAGCACGCAGCACATATGAACCGTAATTTATTCTCCCGCTGCCTTACTGCCAATGGTGAGGTTATTTCCAGTTTTTCAAAAAGCTGCAGAGAAATGTCCCATGCATCCTTCCTTTTGTATATATAGGAACATTTTTGTGAGCTCGAGTCCCAAGAGTGGAATTGGATCAAATTCTGAGATTTAGGGTGACATTCACTCTCGTGTTTTTTCTTTTGTTGCAGAGACTGAAAAGAATAACCTCCAGCGTCTGTGTGTAACTTTGTGGTTTATTAGAGTCTCACATGTATGAGGTACTCTGTGTTGTTAATAGCTGAACAGGTTACAGTTGGGGGATGAGGCTGAGACAGTGATTCGCTCAGATCCTGCAGCCAGGGAGAGTAGAGCAGAGCAGAGCAGACTTGTTTTTGCTTTTGTCTTTCTGAGACAGGGTCTCTCTATGCAGTTCAGGCTGGCCTTGAGCTCACTTTGTAGCCCAGGCTGGTCTCGAACTTGCAATGATCCTCCTGCCTCAGCCTCCCGAGTGCTGGGGTTACAGGTGTGCACCACCACAACTGGCTCAAACAGCAGAGTTGGGAATGAGGCCTTCTCACTGTAAAGTACTGGGTGAGAACAGACACGCGGAAGCCTCCTGCTTGGGCGGCAGAGACAGCTGCCGTGCACTGCTGCTGGACACAGGAGTCTCCCGGAGAAGCACTGTCCACACCAGCAGAGGCAGTGCGGGCAGGGCATAGGTGTAAAGCCCGGTCTTCTGCAGACAGAACCCTCTGCTTTGGTCATGTTCAGCTCTGCTCCAAAGAGCTGTTTCTAGCACGGCCTGGTCCCCATGAATGCTGGGGACAGCCCAGATGTCTCCTCCTCCACGCCACCCCGAGACCCTGACTTGTCCCAACCTTTCCAATGAATCCCCAGTGCTAAAGGAAACACTGCACCGGATCTGTGTCCCTGAACACGATGGCACCTCCTAGCGGGCAGCAGGCTCCTGAGGACGAGGAGCTCAGCAAAACAGGGACCTTCAAGCTGGGCTGCTGGCTGTCCAGGGCCTCCGGAAGCTCTGGGCCTGGGCTCTGCTGGACTCGGCCTCTTCTGAGATCGCATCTCCAAACTGCATCTGATACTTTCAGGACCCGGAGATTTATTTTCCTGACCTTTCCGGATGCAGATTCCAAGCAGGGGGAGGGAGAACATCAGCCCCGAAGCGGTTAATTCTCCTGGCTCCTAAATTGATAAGCGGTGCGGACGTCAGCCTGAAATGAACTCGCCTTGTTCGGCGGGGTTCGAAGACAGCGGAACTCAATCAGCAGCGGGCCGCACGGTTCAAGGCTGCAATTCATCCCGCCGCGCCTCTGAAAAATGGGAGGTGACAGTTCATTTTGCCAGTGACAGTCTGTCGGTCTCGCTGGCTGCTTCTCCTGTCGATTGCCTGGTGGAGGTGAAGCGAGGCTCCGAGACGCCCGCGCTTGGTATTCCGCTCAGCTGAGCAGGCCCAGCGTGCACGCGAGGTGTGCAAACCTCCCGGCCTCGGTGTCTTCCTCCCTCCCGACGGCAGCTACCCACACCTGGTGCGGGCAGCTCGAGGTCTTGCCAGCCCTCACTTCCGGTGCCCTGGCTTCGGCTCGCCCTGGGACCCCAGCAGGGGGGTTTGCACGCAGGAGATGAGAATGTGGGTGCTGGCAAGCTGCTGTGCAAGTAGGGGTGCTGGGACAGACAGAGCGTGCTCAGCAGGGGCTGTGCTAGGAGTCACCCCCAACCCCACAGCTGCAGCTGTGGCCAGGAAGGAGTAAGAGAGGTGACCCCGAGCATGCGCTCCTGGAATCCCCAGTGCCACTTCTCTAAAATTACAACACCTGCCTGAACAAGAATGTAGGCCATTAACTTGCCTCAATCTGGAAGCTACTGGGTGTGACTGTTATAAGAGAAACAACCTGAGAAAGCGGACACTGCAGAGGACTGGACTCCTCAGGGGACCGGAACAGGATGTCTGTGATTTACTCTCAGATGGATCAGCGGAAAATCGGTAAATTTATAGAAATATGAAATAGTAAAAGTGGCAAAAACTAATGACAATGAATCTGAGAGAATGGTGAACAGGAGTTCTAGGTACTATGATAAGTTTCCTGTGATTGAAATTATTACAAAATGAAAAGTATTTTTCTTCGTTATTGTTGTTAATATTATGCTTTAGTTTTTTCGAGGCAGGATCTCCCTATAGAGTTCAGGTTAGCCTTGAACTCATTGTGTAGCCCAGACTGGGTCCGACTTGCTGTGATCCTCCTGCTTCTTCCTCTGGAGTTCTGGGATTACAGGCCGGCATTTATCGCCCTTGGTCAAAAAGTATTTTTAGAAAACCCAGAGGGATTTGCAGCATTTAATAAGCATTGGTTGAGGCTCTTTTAGGTACCAGGGCTGGGGACCCAGAGGTAAATAACAGGAGAGATCTAGACCCTCGGGAGCTTGCAGGTGGGAGGTAAAGACAGGAGTGGCGGTGTGGGGCGCTGGTCAGCCAGAATGACGAGACACCCCTGCGGTTTCCACGAGAAAGGGACAAGTGTAGACCGGAAGAGAACGGGGAAAATGTCAGGGGATCAGACTCGGTGACCACCAAGGTGAGGCGAAGGGGGCCAGGACTGAGGCCGAGGCGGAGGAAGGGAGTAGTAGGAAACCTGCATGTTCTTGTGCGACACCATCGGTGGCCACAGCTGACTGTGCGGCCCATGAGAGGGGCTGCCCTGCGGCCAGCGAGGCCGCGGGTCCAGGAAGTCGAAGAGCAGCTGAGTTTAAGGCCTAGCCATGGTTCTGCCTTCCTTGTTCAATGACTTCCCACTTCCTAGGAATCTGGGTAACAGTTTCCCCTTTTCTGCGCAAGTCTGTTGGATTTGGGTTTCTGTCTCTTATAATCAAGAATCTTATTTATACCAGGAGCCCTTAAAGAAGCCAGGTTGTTGGGCAGATAAGGAGACCACTGGGACCAAAAAAATCCATTGCGTGGCTTTCTGTTCCTCCCCGCTTCCTCCCTCTCCCCCTCCCCTCCCCTCCCCCCTCCCCCTCCCCCTCCTCTCCCCTCCCCCTCCCCTCCTGTTTCCCTCCCCTCCCCCTCCCCCTCCCCCTCCCCCTCCCCCTCCCTCCCTCCTCTCCTAGCAGTGCTGAGGATGGAACCCAGGACCTTGCACTTGCTAGACAAGGGCTCCACCACCAATCTATACCCGAAGCCCAGGGATAAGCACTTTCAAAAGGAATGGAGATAATTCACCAAACCCAGATGGGTTGCACTGGCAGGGGCGGGAGAAGTGAGGCACATCGGTGAAGGAACCCTGGATGTCTCCGAAAGATACAGGAAAGGAGAAGGAGGAAAATAATCACATTTGACAAACAGGAGCTGCTGATCTGTGGACCGAGAGGCAGACGGTTAAAGCCGTCTCCCCCGCTCACCCCTGGAGGACAAAGCAGAGTGCAAGAAAACTTCCATCAGTGCAGAGAAGCCGGTGAGGCTGAGCCAGGAAGATTCCAGAAGGCGGCGGCAATCCAAGCTCCCAGGCACACGCACCTGCAGGGCCCTTTGGGCTCCATCCTGCCCGATACCCTGTCCTTTGAATGAATCCGAGTGTCGTGTCTCCCCCCGCCCCCCCAGCCTGAGTTCTCGGGGTAACGCTCAGGGTCTGAGGCATTTTTCCGCCATCACATCTTATCAAAACCTACCTTCCTGTGTCCACCGTTAACTCCTCCTCCGGAGGCCACTAATCTGATCAAGTGACACATGCTAATGGGATAAGCAGGGGAATATAGCCCTCCAGGTGACTCATGTGTTATTTATTTAGGACTCTGGCCACCAGATACCGGATACTGTTCCTGGCACACCTCGGGTATCCGGCCCGCCTGCTGAGGCAAAACGGGTGAGCTGGGCTCCTTTCCGTTCAGACTTTTAGGAGACAAAATGTCATTTAAAATGAAGGCCCTGGTAAGAATGCCAGTCAGGGCTGCCAGGACAGCGGAGGCCAGAGGTCCTCTCAGCTTCTTTATGAGGGTGCGACTCTCTGTTAGATGGACCTGGGCCTGCACCCCACTGTCCATGCGAATCCCTAACTGAGCATCTACTTTGAGAACCTCTGTTTTGAGATTAAATGCCCCCTGGGTGCTCAGGTAACACTGAGGCATTACACAGGCAGATACTGTGGTCTCCAGAGTCCTGAGTTGACACCTGACACACGTTACTGACGAGGCCTTAATAGCTCACGTGCTTGGCTGCCATCCTGGGGACAGAGTGGTTCCATACCCACCAGGTCGTTTCTTTGAGCGTTAACATTGTCCCTATTTATTTGTGTCACAATTCTGGGTCCATAAGGGCTGCGTGAAGCAAAGAAGGGACCTGAGTGAACATTCCTGCTTCCTTTTTTGGCCACAGGGGAACTCGGAGACCTTTTTGGCGGTAACAAAAATGTCACAGAACAGAAATATTTGGTTCTTTCACTTTTCTCTTTCTTTTTCCTTTTCTTGCATGAGGCCCATTGAGCCACCCGGAGCCAGCCCTGTACCCTTCACGGCAAGCCACAGGACTCACCGCCGCAAGCTGTGCTGCTGGTGGAGTCCGGATATCTTGGACCAACAGGAATAAAGTGTAACTGGGTTTTTCCTTCTTAAAACATTAGCTCCTGCTGGCCTGGAGGCAGGGTGCCCTCTGGAAGTCAGATCCACCTCAGTGCTTGCTACACAACGATGCTAACCTTGGGGCCAGGAGAATTTTCCTGTTTACAAAACGCAAATTACCCTTTGCATAATTTTGCAGGGGTGCCCATAAAGGCGGGTGCTCCTATTTCTAAAGACTGTGGGAATCTGGTGTGTGAGAGCTAGAAGGAACCTTATTTCAGTGGAGACACAGAGTCCTTAAATTAGAAGCAAAGGCAATCAAATCACCTGTCCCAGCTAGCTTGGTTTCTGAGCAACCCCAAGAGGTGATGTGGGGCCAGCTGTTCCCTTGGGGTTCCTGCAAACTCTGCTACTCCTTGATTTCACGATTCTGGGCTGGACCTTAACCAATGAAACCTGGGGACAATCAGGTTCCCCTTTTCCTCCGTGGGCCAGAAGAAAGCATGTGTATCCCCTGGGGCCGGCCTGTGGGGACTGTTGAACGAAGTGCACGGTCCTGCCGCTTACTGTGTTCTCTAGAATCTTCACCACGTGGGCACCAGCCACCACAGGAAGTGGTGAGGCTGTTCTCTGTACATTTAGCCAAATCACCATTTCCGGATGCTCATGTCCAAGAACCACTTGGGAGAGCTCCCCCCGTAGCCCACTTCCTCTCCATTTCAATTTCGTTTGAGGCTCTCTTAGTGCTCAGGAGGTGACAGTCTCCAGAGAGGTCCCGCTGCCTGTGTGGTTTGGTTTCTTTGCTGTAACCCAGGCATCTAACTTCTCTGCAGGCTGGGGCCCTGGTCTCTCTTGCGCACGCGCAGGGTCAGGGATGCCCACAGCGCTGACACCCTGAGATTCTCTGTTCACTTCTGCAGGGAGAATCTTAGAGATAGCTCTCCCTGGGAGAGGGACATGTCTCCTGGTCCTGTAGATCTCTTCTTGGCCCGAATCTTGTTTTTGTCTCTGGTGCCAAACAGGATGAATGAAAGACTCAAAGAAGCTGGGTGACTGGGAGCTGAACCGGGCCAGCATCCCATGCTGATGACGCTGGTCACCAAGCAGCCCGAGAAGTGCTGGGCCTTCTCCTTGGGGCTGCTCCATTTCTCTCTCCGAGCCTCTGGTCCCCATCAATTCAATGCAAAACTCATCTCCTGCTTTGGCCGAGTTTATAGCAAATCGTGATTTGGCTTTGTCTCTAGGTTAGGATGGTGGGAAGGAAGTCCCCTGAGGCCCTGCAAGGTGTCCCCAGGTGACCAGTGAGATTAAAGCTCCCTTCCTGGGGCAGGGCTTCTCTAGGGCAGGGGGCTCTCCACCAGAAGCAGATGGGAAGATTTCCGCGTCCCCTTCCCCAGGCATTTTCTCCCTGGGGTGAAGATGCTGAGCCCTGAGGTGAAATGACTCTCCCCAAACTCACACCACTGGGTGGCACAGCACAGGTGGAACCCTTGGGCAAGCCTCCGAGGCCTGGGCTGGATCTGGGCCACAACTGCTTCTCGGTTAAGGGACAGTGCTAGCTGCCAAGGATTCTGGGTAGGGATGGCGGGTATCACTGTGACGGCTGTTCTGGTCCCTCGCAACCTCTCACACCCTTCAGCTCTGCTCTGTCGGCTAGAGGAAGCCGCTCTGGGGCAGCAGGGGTTGCCACTAGAGGAGCTGCCCAGGCCAAGATAACAGGTTGTCTGTCAATGTAAAAGGCCTACGCAGGGCCTGGACCACAGAGCTGCCTCCGGAGGAGAAATTAAACCTGTCTCCCGCACCAATCCCAGGGCTCTGATTACATTTACAGAGGTCGTGGCCTGCGTTGTGTCGCCATGGAAACCTCTCATGCTGCCAGGGTGTTGTCTGTACGTGTCAGTGATATTTAAAGGCAGAGGCAGGCCAATTGCTCTCCCCCACCAGCCCGCATCCTGGAGTTACATCCCAGCGATAAGAGGAAGAGCTTGGAGAGCAGGAAAGGGGGCTTCTCCACACAGGCAGGCTTTCGTGGAGCCAGGGGTGCAGGGAGAAAGGAGGACCAGGTAGCAGGCGAGGGGAGCCCCAAGGTGTGGATGGAGTGTTTTCCCTCTCTCTAACACCTCCTCCAAGTCCCGAGCACAGGCCTCAGGGGCCAGGTGGAGTGGGGGGGACCTCCACCGCACTGCCCTTGGTTTCGATTTTGTGCGTGAAGCCTGCTGATAACCGCTCCAGTCTGCTCCCTCCAAACACCTCACTGCACCATCCTGCAGGAAGGCAACCAGGGGGTGACTTATCAGGAGCCCCAGGTGTCGGGAGGCCTAAATAGCACCCCGTTCTTGGACAGAATAAGAAAAGAAGCGCGTGCTGACTCAGCTGGTAACCATCAATTTTGCCCGTAGTCCTGAGACAATTATTTCTGCACCGCGGAGCAGAGTGGAGATAACGCAGGCACCTGAGAGAGGCCGGAGCGGGGGCTGCTCACAGCTCGATTTAAGCACCGTGAGCATAAAGCGATCCTGAATATTCTGCAGTGCACCTCTCACAACTTGTCGGGGGCTCGGGATGGAACACTGAGCTCCAGGAGAGGAAATCTAGATCGACAGCTTGGTGGCACAAGTCCCATGTGTCACCTAGGACAGAGGTGTTTTCCTGAGGAGTATGCTCCCCCGGCTGCCCCGGCCCTTGGCGGTGGGATGCAGTCTGTCTTGAAGTCAGAACTCCGGAGACAAAGTGTTGCTTTCCTTTTGGGGGGAGCTGAATCCTGTGGACACCACTTCCAGGGCAGCAGCTGGGAGGCCGCTGGGCTCCCCGCAGGGCTGTGTTTGTAGGGGAAGTTCGGCATCTGCCACCATGAGTGAATCTCCATGACATCTGGATTGGGGTTCTCCCTGAGTGTTTTGGGGGACACTGCGTGGGTCCGCAAAGAGATAGGGCAGGAAGACCATGGGAGTGGGTGAGGAGACACTGATGACTGCAGTTTGCTAGTGTCTGAGGCCAAAGACAGCCAGGCCACCTCTTTAAAGGCAAGTTAGCTTCACGGAAAGGAAACTGTGTTCTCTGCAGATAAACGAATCCATCTCTTGGGCAGTTACTTCTCATATCTTTAGTTAGTAAGAAGGGTCAAGTGAGAGATTATCAGTGATGTGTGTGTGTGTGTGTGTATTTTTACTGAGCACATACTAGGTGCTCATTGTTGCAGGGAATCCACAGATAATACCAATCCAGAGATAATACCAGGCATGGTGGTGCACCCCTGTAATCCCAGCACTCAGGAGGCTGAGGCAGGAGGATCACTGCAAATTGAAGACCAGCCTGGGCTACAAAGTGAACTCAAGGCCAGCCTGAACTGCATAGAGACCCTGTCTCAAAAAGCCAAATAATAATAATAATAATAATAATAATAATAATAATAACACAGCAGATGCAATAATGCACCCCTATAATCCCAGTGCCTGAGAGGTTGAGGCAGGAGGATCATTATGAGTTCAAGGCCAGGCTCAACTATATAGCGAGACCCTGTCTCAGGAAGAGCTCGCTAATAATACAGTAGCTGATCATGTTGAAGCCTGTGCTGCACTGCAGCCGTTATAAATGGTTCATGTTAGCTCTTCGGGTTTTCACAGCAACCTTGAAAATAGTGTTACTCTCCACACTGCACAGATGAAGAAATCAAGGCACCGAGTAGATAAGTAATTTGTCAGAGGTCACTATGGCAGGTGGTGGATTTGAGCACAGGGCTGTCTGACCTCAGGACCTGCTGTGCTGGTCACCTCTTTGATGGGTCAGGCTTGGGCTTTGGGACGTGGACCCAAGCTTGCATGGGGCGCAGGGAGACTGGCTGTCTGAGGCTGGCTTGCTCTTCTCGGTTACTGGGCGGGGTGGATTTGCAGGCTGGTGGGAGTTTGGAATGAAGGTAAGAAGGTCCAAGATGAGGCCTATGGGGCTTTTGTTTATCTGTTTGGCTTTCTGAGACAGGGTCTTGCTAGGTAGTCCAGGGTGGCCTTGAGCTTACTCTGTAGCCCAGCCTGGCCTTAAACTTACAGAGACCCTCCTGCTTCAGTCTCCTGAGTGCTGGTATGGCAGGTGTGCGCCACCACACCCAGTGGAGGCCTACAGTTTATCATCACTGGACAAAATGAGGGACCTGGCAGGCAGGAATTCTGATCTCCAGCGGACAGATGAAGATAATGAACCTTGCAGAGCGTGGCCCAGTCTTAGACCAGGATTGGAACCTAGGGCTTCCTGCTCCCCGGCCCAGGCTCCGGCCACAAATCTGTTGCCATGGAAAGAATTAAGAGGAGTGGACATAAGAAACTATTGGAAATGCTCAACTGTCCAGGCTGGAACATGGAGAGAAGTATCAATTAGAAAACAAGCCATAGAAAGGATTCCTGCCAGGAGGAAAACTCTGGGAACGCAGGGACAAGGAGAGAAATGAAATCAGAGGGAGGAGAGGAAGCACAAGGAGGCAGAGAAATAACAGGAAATCAGGTATGTGGTACACGCCTGTCATCCCAGCACTCGGGAGGCTGAGGCAGGAGGATCACCCCAAGTTCCAGGCCAGCCTGGGCTACAAAGTGAGTGCAAGGGCCACATAGAGAGACCCTGTCTCCAGAACAGGGCGGTTAAGAGGGGAGCAGGACCGGGACAGGGCAGAGCTCAGAGCCAGGGAACTGGTGCTTCTGGCAGGAGCAGGCAGCCAGGGCCCTTCGGAGCCGTGGAGAGGAGGCTGGTAGGATGGAGAGGCGGTGGAAGGCGGTGTCCCTGGAAGGTCACCTCAGGGTGTGAGGACAGGATGTGGGGTTTGACGGAGGAAGTCGATGAGGGCGGTGGGAGGAGGAGAAAGAGTGGGCGGGTTAGAGAAGGCTGGGGGTGGAAGGAAGATTTCTCCTTTCCTCTTGGAGGATAAAGGAGACCCGAAGTGATCTCTGAGGGAGAAAGACCGCGTGTGAAAGAGAACATGGGATGCAAGACATGGGGGACAGCGGAGAGGGACAGATAGAGAAGGGATGATTCTGTCTTTAAAAGGAAGGGAAGGAGACCAGCCGGTTGGCTCTTCCCGTGAGCTGACGGCACGCAGGCTGAGACTCGAGGACCCCTTGCCCCGCATCCCAGCAGCTGGCTGATTCGGAGGAAAACATAGCCACTGAGGTGCAGAACTCTGAATGCTTGCATTGTTTGACTCTGCAGGCCCGGGCCAGCGGCCCCAGCATCCGTTAGGACGGTGACACAACAGTACCCAGCGTAGCCGCCTTGGGGGGTCCTTCCGTCCTGTTTTGAAACTCAATATGGTTCTGTTTTGTTTTGTTCTGATTTATGGTTTTGTTTTATTCAATGTTCTGTCTCGATTCGTTTCATTCTGTATTGTTCTGTTTGATTTTAGTATGCCTGACAGTACCGATAACAGGACAAGAGATATTATGGTGACCATTGTTGATTTCCTGTTGTCCTGTATCACTTTCACTGTTTTGTTTTGATTGGCTTTATTCTGTTTTATTTTGTTAGGTTTTACTCCCTTTGAAATAGAGAACCCCAAAAATCAAGGCCCCCAGACTAAGCTGCCGTCCTGTAGGGAGGAAGAGAGGCTGTGCTGGACCAGCTGGCGCCCCAGGGGCCCAGGGACACTGACCGGGGACACTCAGAGAGGGGAAGCCCAAAATGCACTCAGAGGCAGCTGTGCAGGCGAGGAGGGAACAGGTCTTGAGAACTGAAAGGTCACCCTAGGGGACGTCCAGGAGGGCGGGAGACTGCGCCCCCTACCTTGGGGGAATCAGCTCTGCTCTGCCCAGGTCTGCGCCCCGCACCCCGCATCTGTGTACACTGACTGACGGTGACTTGGCTGGGATCTTGGTTTTCCTTCAGGGTGGGACCCTCTGGGCCCGGCAAGTGGGCTGCAGGGGCCAGGGGTTTCTGCTGGACCCTAAATAACACCAGCCCCGGCTTGTACTCAAATTCCCCTCCCCAGATCCTGCAAAGTGAGCAATAAGACAGACAGGAAGCGGGGAATGAGTTTAGGGAGCCTCAACGGTCTTTTTAAAACTTATTTTGGAATAATAGATGAAGAATGAAAAGCGAAGAAACCCAGTTTGACTTTAGAAAATTGCTCTTCAAAAGAAAGAAAGAAAAAAAAAAGGAAGAATAAAGAAAGTTGCTTTTCCTCTCTGATTTGCTGTCGGTCTCCTCGGCTGCCACAGTGCCCCATCCGGACTTGTTTTCTGGAAGTTTCCCACTCACAGATGCGTGGCCTGCAGAACTGGCCTCCTCCTGCCCACCGGCCCCGCATGCCGAGGAGGCCCAGGACCGCAGGCTCAGATCATCTGGCGGCAGCTGACACATCCTGAGACCCCAGCCCCCTTCCGGGTCCCCAGAGAACCAATCAAAGTCAGGAGAAGCCAGAGTCAGCAACCTTTTTGGTCTTCGGGGTCTCTGTGGGTCTCAGCAGGGCCCAACGGGGAAGCCCAATCTGGTGTCAGGAGCAGATAAAGGAGACACCCCAAAGGGAGGCGGGTGGGGGAGAAAGGGGACCCTGGGAACAAAGTGGGGTCACTCTCTAGATGGTGGAGGACCCATGGGGACTGTTTCCGGCAGCTGCTGGGCCACCCGGGGGATGCATCTGCCTCTCTCAGGGGTTGTTCAGTTCTGTGGGAGCTTTGGACCAGCACCTGGGTTCAAGTGCTGGCAAGTCACCGTTGGGGACCAGTTTGTAGCCCAGGCTGGCCTTGAACTCAGGGCGACCCTCCTGCTTCAGCCTCCCCAGTGCCCGGATCGCAGGTGTGTGCTTCCACACTTGGCTGAAACTTTGGATTTTAAAGCCACTGAAGGCTGAGCTGCAGTGAGCATCTTGTCTCTGGCGCCGCCCCCTGACCACATCCTGCCATCTGGAACGGCAGCCCGCAGCTTCCTGCAGGGGCTCTCACAGCCGCAGGAGCCCTGTTCCTGGCACTGGCTGCACCACCTCTCCTCCCAGGTCCCTTAATGAAGTGTGCAGCCCTTGTCCTCATTAGGCCTGGCGCTGTCAATTAAAGAGTAAATAAACCCGGGGGATGCGACTGGGACCAAGAGGCTGAGGCGCAGCGGCCACATGTCCTGGGGACAGACGTCCTCTCCTCCACGTGTCATGACCCGGCAGCCAGGGATCGATCAGCAGCTTGGGGTGAAGCCTGGGTGCCTGCCCACCTCTCTCTCCTCCCCAGATCCATGGTGCTGGGGCAGGGCCGTGCCCTTCTGGGTGCCAGCTGCTTCCCTTGCCCCCCGATAGAGCCCCCTGGAAGCCGCACAGGGGTGCTCCAGCCTGGCAGCAGCAGACAGCCCGAGGCCTGGCAGGCAGGGACCTCTTGGTCTCTGCCAGGGACCTGCATCTTAACCCCCTCACCCTCTGCTGTCCACCCAGGGGACGGGCAGCCAGAAAGAGGATGCTAAGGCCTCTCTGGTTGGGCACCAGGGAGGGATGAAGGGGACGTGGATGGAGCCGGGATCTGTGAGTGGCGACAGCGGGCTGCCTTCTCCCGTGACAGCCACACCACACCCAGCCACACGCTCAGGACCCGGCAGGGGCTCCTCAGCCGCCAGCCTCTCCAGATCTCCTTGATATTTCCCACAGAGCGGTAAAGGGCTCTTGGCGATGGTGTTTCTGTTTTTGTTTTTCCGGTCTGGCATCCCTCCTCCTCCTCCTCCTGGATGTGGTTTCCATGGCGACCCCCAATCAGATTGGGCTTCCTACGAAATTGGATTTCACAGAAGGAGAAGGCTTCAGAGGAATTTGTCTATTTACCAGAATGTCCAGGGTCCTCAGATGATTAAGGGGGGCCGAGCACAGCACCTGGGCGTCTGTCTGTGGCCTGGTGTGACGTGCCGGGTCCAGTTGGAACCTGCCGGTCACGCCGAGGCACAGCTCCTGCTCCCACCCTCTCCCTGCTAAGACCCAGAGATCCTGTGAGCAAACAGGGGTCAAGGGCACCTTCCCCACGAGTGTCCACTGTGTCCCCAGGGGTGAGCCAGGTGTGACAGCCGGCAGGGCCCCCATCGAACCAACTCCTTGGCTCCAGGCCTAAATGAGCCTGCGACGACCACTCCAGTGTCTCTTTTGCTTTTCAGCCCATGTCATTCGTACCCCAAAATGATCTCAGAGCAGCTGCAACTTTTTAAGGGGAGCAATGAGTTGGTAAAAACACCCCCAAGGAGCCAGGTGTGACAGACACCATACCTCTGGCATCCAAGCATGTGGGAGGCTGAGGCAGGAGGATCGCAGCAAATTTGAAATGGCCTGAGCTACAGATTGAGACCCTGAACCGAGCAGCGCTTCCTTTTCAGATGCAATCAAAGCCCGCTGGGCCTCGGCCTCGAGGTTTTGTCCCTGGAAGGCTTTAAACTGTTCCAGGAGCAGGCGCCCGCACCCTGGTTCTTCTGGCTCCTTCCTCTGCTCCTGTCCTGGCTTCCGGGCCAGTCCCGGCCTTGTGCCAGCCGAGGCTGCTGTAGAGACCTCTTTACCACTTCTGGCGCCCTCTCTTCCCTTCCCAGTCCCTCTGACCTGTTCCCCAGGTCCAGTCTGGGAACAGAAGTGTCCTTCCCAAGCTAAGGGAAAGGAGAACTGTGGGAGGCCACACTGCGGAGGAGTCCTGGTGGGGTCACCCTGCACCTCCAGAATTATCAACGGCTCCCCCGGGGCCTCTCCACGGAGCTCAAAATCCTCACGCTGACTTCTAGGACCTTTCAGGGCAGAGCGTGCATTTATTTTGACAGCTGTCGCTTCCTGGCATCATTTAGGGCTCCCCCCTTTGTGGGTCTGTCCTTCCCTGCAGAGGTGTTCCCAGGGGTCTCTGTAAGCAGGAGAACCCCTGCCGAGCCCCACCTCCTCCTCACCTCCTTCCCCTTCTGTCATCCAGGCCGCTCTGTCCTTACAGCCCTTGTTCTGTCTTCTGACGTGCAACTGAAATGGAGGCTGAATGTCCGAATTCTAGAAAGCTATTCCAGCGGGAAACACATCCTCCTCCTCCCAACATGCACCGGCTGCTCCAAACACGCCTACCCCCGGGTCCCCGTCCTTTTCCGCAGCAGCTCTGCAAGTCCTCCTTTGAGAGTGTCTTTCTCTGCTGTGACTGGAATCTGGTGATGGCTGCTGCCAGGCGCCGTCCCAGGGAGAGGCAGGCACGGTGGGCAGCCCCGCTCCATCTGCGCTGTTCACAGTGACCCTGAGAGGGGCTGGGGGTTTAAGCTCAGCAGCATAAGCTCCTGCCTGGCAAGCGCAAGATCATGAGTTTGATCCCTGGTACCAAAGTGACCATGAGAGACCTTGAGGCCTCCCTGACAGTGCAGCCAAAGACCCTCATGAAAGAGGACTCCAGAGCTGCTGCGGGAAGGGGCACACACAGTGGGCCAAGGGGAGTTAGGGGAGGAGCCCCACACATTTTAAAGTTCTTTCAGGCTGAGGGAGGAAAGGCTGCTCTGGGGCCCAGTGCTGGCTGACGGCTCCATGTCATCAGGACCTCCAATCATTCCCTTCACCCCTGGTGGCTTTCCTGAGGCCGCAGACGCCTTCCCGATCTTCTGGGCATGGACTCGGGACTGGTTGGCTATGGAGGATGGGGGCGCTAGGCTTTCTTAGATGGTGCCTCTCCGCGCCGCGTTTTGGCACTGCAAGCCGCTTCGAGGTCATCTGCTCAGAGCATCAGTATCTCTAACAACCATGGTTCCCTGAGTCAGGGAAGTCTTTTATTTTGGTGGGGGGCCCAGAGAAAAGCCCCTCACCTTGTGTGGTGCTGAGCTCCCCATGTGAAAGCAGGCCACCCAAAGCCTCGAGTCCCTACCCCCTGACCCCTTAACCCTTTGGTCCCCTGCCCCGCTATTCCTCCACCTTGACCTTGGGAGCCCCTGATTCTTCTTCCCCATTGGTCTCGAGACCCCCAGTTCCTTGGCCCTTTGGCCCCTGAGACCACCCAGGGGCCCTGCCCTCAGCCCTATGCGCCCTCCCTGCTCCCATAACCCCCCAAGCCCGCCCCCCCCCGTGTCCCATCCCCGGGGGCCCCCCATTCCCCGCCCGCCCGGTCGCTGCGCGCGCCGCTTCCTGAGCGCGCCCCGCCCCGCCCGGCGCTGAGCCCCGCGGCCACCGAGCGCAGGTGTCGCGGCGCCCTGGTCCCCGCTGCCCGCGCCGTGCTCGCCCCGCCCGCAGATGCAGGCCGTCGCCCTCCCCGAGGAGATCCGGTGGCTCCTGGAAGGTAACGCCCGGCCTCGGCCTCACTGACCCGCGGGGAGCCGCCCCCCAGCGAGGGGCGAGGCAGGAGGGGCCCCAGTCAGTCCCCAAGGCCGCGCTGGCTTTTCAGCGCCAGCCTGCCTCCTCCAGGGCGGCCAGGTGTCTGGACCCGCCCCCACGCTCCCACCGTGTTGGGGGGACCCTGTCCTCCCTTAGGTCCCACACTTTCTGGGTCCCCAGCGGGGGTCAACTCTTCCTGTGCCCCCCCCCCAAGCCCCACACCTTGGGAGCAGCCCCAGACTGCCCAGGGCGCTGGGAGGGGCACATGGGTGCTGGAGCCAAGTCTGGTGGGCACCCACAGCTGTCAGCACAGGCCCCCCAGGTTGCCCCTTGCACTCTGCCGGCTGACTTCTAGGGGTATCACCCTCTGACCAGGGCAGGGCCCACACACTTCCCTTCCTTTCCAGAAGCAACCCACGGTGCTGGCTTCACCATCCGCTCAAACCACAGGGCCCAGCAGACCCTTGAGGAGTGAAGGCCACTCACACGTTAGAGCCATGCAGCCTTTGCTGGCGCAGTGGCATCCTCTACTGGGCCCATGTGGCAGAACCAGTTGGCTCTGGCTTTCCCGGACTTCTAGGGAGACAGAGGCTGAGTCTGTAGCCACAGCTGGGTCCCCTGAGGAAGCCTGCTGAATTAAGCCTTTGGCAGCCAAGTGACATAGTTGACACATATATATTATATATGGCCTTCTTTGGGCAGGGCATACTTCTGGCAAGCTGTGTTTCCTTCCGTTTTCTCTCCAATTGGTTTTCTATCTCTATTACCTTGTTATCTTGGTATAAATGGCTTCTAATCCAATATTTGGCAAGCCCGCTTGGGTTTTGTTTGTAGCACCCTTCGGTTCTGGTCTGCTTCCCTGTAGAGCCGTCTGTTGGGTATTTCTTGGGAGGTGAGGTTTCCAAAATTCACTTTGCTCAGGAGCTGGGTAAATCTGAACTTGAGGAGCAGAAAACTCTTCTTTGCCGGGCACATGAACGTCTTGAAGAATCAAAAGTCCGGCCTTTCTCTCTGCTCTTGGTTCCATTTTAGGACTCCGGACGCAAAGCTGTCATCCTTTGGGTTTCCAGGTGGCTAAAAGTTTAATTGGGCCCTGGTGTTTAAAGAGGCAAAGCCTCTCTTTTCATGGGTGTCTGCCATTCCAGGAGAGGAAGCCGATTCACAAGCCTGGTAAACCACATTCCGGCTTCGCGGGCAGCGCCGGGCCCAGACGCCTTTGTGCCATCAGGGGTCTGCCCGGCACCCACTTCCTCAGGGGTTTTGATGTGTGGTTCTGTCCTGTGCAGCAGTGACACTGGCCAACAACTCCTTCCTGCACCTGCCGCTTCCTGTAGCCAGGATGGTTTTCTTGTTAGCTGACTGTTTTTAATTGACGTCTTCAGATCCCGCCTCAAGCAGAGCTTTGCTCCTGACAGGGAGAGCAGGGCATGAATGGAGATTAATTGCCCGTCAGTTGCGTCTGGATCAAACTCGATCAGGTCGTCAGACAATATGGGAGGGTTTTACGGAGCTGTGTTGGTGAATGCACTTCTCTTTCTTTTTAGTTTTTTTGAGACAAGGTCTCTCTATGCAGTTCAGACTGGCCTTGAGCTCACTTTGTAGCCCAGGCTGGTCTCAAACTCGCAACGATCCTCCTGCCTCAGCCTCCTGAGTGCTGGGGTGGCGGGCGAGCACCACCACACCAAGCTGGTTAATGCATTTCTTTAAGGCTGTTTTGTTTTGGTTTTTTAATTTGCAACTATGGCCTTGACTCTGTAGTAGAAAAAATATAAAGTAGGATTTGGTCAAAACTATTCAAACAGTATGTTTTTGTAGGTTTTATTCTTTTTTTTTTTTTTTTTTTTGTCTTTTTCCTTTTTATCAGTACCGGGGATTGAACTCATGACTGCCTGCAAGGCAGGCGCTTATGCCACTGAGCTAAATCCCCAGCCCCGTAGGTTTTATTCTTTTAATGGAGCAGTCTCTGGTTAGACCAGCAGTATTAGTCATTGTGTTGCAAATGATTTGTGGATATTAGGAACCAAAATGGCCGTCAGTTTGTCGTGTGTAGCTGTGGCCCTGTGTCCTGCTGCTCTGCACATCTTAAGGTTAAGGGCTGACAATGAGAGAGGTGCAGGGCAGGATCTCTGTGCCCCCCACGTGGCTGGGTGGGAGGGATCAGGGCGGGGTTTGCACGGTGAATTACAGCTTTCATAAACCCGGGTGCAAACCTTTGCCCAGTGATTTAATGCTGGCCTCACATACAGCCCTAGCTTAAACATTTATTTATAAAACATGTGTGTAAATGACAGGGGCATTTTTTTTTTTTGACACAACGTGTGTACCTTGAAGATTAAATACGCAAAGCCCCGTGAAAGGCTTATGCCAAATTGTGCACGATGAGGAAGGGAACAGAAATTGGGAAGGTCTGAAACTAATGTTAAGTGTAGACGGCTGCCCGTACACAGCATCTCCTTTGCCCCAGAAACTCCACTTTTGGAATTAAAGACGTGAAGTCTGCACATGAGGCCCACTCGTGGGCAAACAAGGAGACCATGAAGGAAATTAGGGCACGGTTATGGTTTGTGTCTGATGTCCCCCAGAGTCTCATGCGTTCTTGGGTCCCCCTGCAGGAGGCTGGATCTCAAGGGGGGATGGGTTCCTAGTGCAATGCTGGGGTTCAGGGTGCTGGGGTTAAGGGCGGTGACTGCTGGGCTTATCCACTTGGTGGACCGGCACTGTCCTCCTCTCAGGGGGTGCAGTGTAGGGGACGGAACGAGCCTGGTCTGCGCCCTCTCTCACTGCTTACTTTTGCCGTCTTCTGCCCACCTGGGCTGTTTCTGCTCTGTGACGCCCTCTGCCATGCCACCCGCCTTGGAGCCAGCCGACTGTGGACTGAAACCTCCACAAACTGCGAGCCAAACAAACCTGTCCTCCTTTCAATTTGGGTATCCAATATTTTGTTTCAGCCATAAGAAAAGTAACTACAACAAACTCATGTTATGGAATATGACTCTGTCACTAAAACAGTTGAATGGATCTGTCTGTCTTCTGTCTATCATCTGTCTGTCTCCCTGTCTTGACATGGCCTGTTTTTAAGACTAAAAACTGGGAAGGGAAAAAAAATGAAAAAAAGGAATTAAAGTGTATTGTGTACGTGTACCAACTACCCACAAGGCATCTTAACACTATGCCCTACATATATATGAGACAGTGAAAGTTTAGGAGATAAGAGAGGTTATGAATTTTATTTCATGTATCGTCATGATGTTTGAATTATGACAATGACCATTTATTACTTTTGCAATCTGAAAAGTCACCCAGTAAGATTATTTGAAAGAAAGGAGATAATTATGCCACGGGTGGTGGCACACACCTGTAATCTCAGCACTCAGGAGGCTGAGGCAGGAGGGTTGCTGTGAGTTTGAGGCCAGCCGGGGCTACATAGTGAGTTCCAGGCCAACTGTGGAGAGAGCCTGCCTTTAAAACACCAGGAAAGAAATTGAAGGTGGAGAAAGAAAAACCCAATAGCAGCTCAAGAGGTGAAGCCGCTGAAGGCCTTGACCGTGGCTGGGATTATGCTTTCTCTGTTGAGCCCTGGGAATTAAAAAGTAGTTTTCCCCTCTTGGGTTAGGTGGGCGGCTCCCAGGGTAACTCAGGCCTGTTCTGCAGCAGCTGGTCAGCTCTGGGGGGAAGCAGGAACCGTCCCTGTCAGCACGTGGGGTCCAGATAGGTCAGAGGAGGGTGTCTCCTGTGTTCCTGAGAGAGGAGGAAACATTGGGGTCTGTTCCAGCCGTGGGCTTCGGTATCACTCTGTTTTTGTTCTGTGATAACCGCTCACTGCAGACCAAAGCACGGCACTGGCAGCTTGCCTGATCTCCGTCCCTAGATGGAACCCTGATCAGCCCTGCCTGCTTCTGCTCCTGGGTGTGAAGCCATCCATGTGGCCAGAGGCAGGGATGGGAGCTGGAACCCCTGCGTCCTGGCTGCCATCTGTCCTGCGGGGTGGAGGGCAACCCTCTGACTGCACCCCAGATCCCAGTGGGGCGCCTGGAAGATGGAGCAGGCCCACACAGCAGCTCGCTGGCTGCAGGGGGCACAGCATGGTTCCTTGTTGTTAACCTTCTTTGGGGAAAGGCAGTCCTTCATCCTCCCTTCCTGATGGTCCAACCCCGTACCAGTCCATGCACCTGGCCGGGAGACCCTTTTTGGTGGACTGGAACTCCAGCCACGGGCAGCTTGCTGGAGCATGTTGGTCCTGGTCACCAGGGTCTCTGTACCTTCTCTAACTTGTTTTTGTTTTGTTTTGTTTTGTTTTTGAGAGAAGATCTCCCTCTGTAGCACAGGCTGGCTTCCAACTCCTGGTGATCCTCCTGCCTCAGTCTCCCGAGTGCTGGGATGACAGCCGTGCACCACCTCGCCTGGCTTAAACCCATTCTTACAAATATTTGTGATCAGTTCCATCCTCAGATGCCTTCGGACCTTTTCTCAGTCCAACCAACCAGTCTGCAGTGGCGTTGGAACACTTTTCAGCGAGAGTTGTTACTGTGAATGTGTTTGTCTGACTTTACAAATATAAAAAAATTTTATTTTTTGAGGCAAGAGCTCACCATATACTTCACGCTGATTTTGAACACACTATGTGTGTGTATTGTGTGAACTTTTGGCGATCCTCCTGCCTCAGCCTCCCGAGTACGGTCCTGGGATTACAGGAGTGCGTCACCGTCACCGTAGCTGGTGTTTACCGAGATATGTGAGCCGTTTAGGTCCGTCTCTGTCGTCACTGCCCCGGGACTGCTTTGCGACTGTCTGTGTCTCCTTTATCTGTTCAGCGTTTCGGTACAGGGGGCCTGAACCCAGGGCCTCATGTGTGGCGAGCACTTGGACTACCACTGAGCTGCTGTATTCTAATTTTGTCCTTTAGGCCAGGGTTGTGACTGTCCTGTTGTCCCATTCTCCATCTGCGGCTCTTCAGAAACTCAGATA